TGGAGCTTCTAGAAGGGTGAGTCTCAATTCTAGTTTTCTAAGATGGTCCATAGGGATTTCTAGAGCTAGAACCTAGACTCTAAGGAGGAGAAGAAAAGACCTCACAAAAATGAGGTCAACAAGCGTTCGTGATTCCATGATTGTAGAGAGGATTTGAGTGGTGTAATATGTATATTTCTCCTCATTTCATACTGAGTTTCTCAGTATGGAGTGGATTCGTAGTTTTTTTCTCGTTCTTGGATTTTTTCACGTTAAATATGTGTTCTATGTTCTGGGTTTTTTGTCTGTGCTCTTATGCTCAATTTTTTGCTTCGGATATCTCAAAATGGTGTTTTTATGCAATTTTGGATAAGTAAAATCCTCCCAACTAGTGGTTCTAAAGATCTTTGGTTTGAGTGAGAGAATTGACCAACGAAGTGCAGTACAAGGTTGAAAAATTCAACGGTACTAACTTTGTTTTTTGAAAAATACAAATTGAAGCTTTATTATTTATAAAAAAGCTGTATTTGCCACTGGAATGACATAGTAAGAAGCCTAAATCAATGACTATAAAAGAATGGGAAGTTCTTGATCAAACAGCTTTATGTTTAATTCGTCTTTCACTTTTCTCATATGTTGCTTTCACTGTTGTAATTAGAAAATTAAGGTAGAGCCCGTGACTGCACTAACAAGAATGTATAAGAACCCTTCTACTTCAAATAAAATTGTTCTAATGAAGAAATAATTCAACATTAAGATTATGGATGGTAGTTCGGTGATTGAGCACTTGAAATACTTCAACATTGTGACAAACCAATTGTGTTTGGTGGGCTTTTAACTCTATGATGAGTTCAGGGCTTTGTTAATACTATTTTCATTGTCAGACAATTGGGATGGACTGTTCACGACGATGAGTAACCCTTCAGGTAATATGAAGTTAAACTTTGATGATATTGTGGACTAGAGTTGAATAAAGAAGTTTGCAAGAAAGCGAGCTATGAAATTCCAAATTTTGTGCTAAATGTTAAAAAATAGAGGAAGAAATTTGAATAATAGTTTAGGTAAGACAAATTCAAGTCAAGAAGAGGAAAGTCCGTGTTAGGGAGAGAAAAAATGAGAAGAATGTTGGAACCACGAGAAGAAATGACACTCTAAAAAGACCGCAAAATTCAGAAGAAGGTTTGTGGTGGAGGTCCAGCTAGGAAACCTTACAAATATCTTCATAGATGAAATTCAAGATGACTCCCTTATTTTGTCTATTCATGTGTTTATTTTCATGCCTGCCCCAACAAAGAGGTTTAAAAATTACAGTCAAGGCGATTTAGGGAATGCATATTTGGGAAATAACAAGACATGCAATATTATAAGAAAGAGTCATGTTGATATCTGGTTGCCAAATGGAATAATCTAGAAGTTTAGTGAAGTTAGAAATGTTCCATGCTTAAAGAAAAAATTGATCCGTGGGACAACTTGCGAAGTTAGAGTATATAACTACTTTCAAAGGTGATTCGTAGAAGGTAACTAGAGGGATAATAGTGACGACTCGGGGCAACATTGAATGCACTCTTTACCCGATCAATGAGATGACTGAATCCATTGATGTAACTAGAAAAAAGATTGGTGAAGGTTTTTGACACTGCAGGCTTAGTAATATGAGTGAGAAATGTATGAAGACTTTCTAAAAAATAAGCTTAAGGAAAAAGCAATCGTGGTCCGTTGGTATCTTTGAATGAAGACTTACCTAAATTAGTTTGGAGTCGAAAGAAGATAAATCCATTTATCCTGAGTGTATTTGGTTGTTCAATATACGTTCATGTTGATGCATGATTCAGGAGTAAACTTAATTCGAAATTTGTCCAGTGCACATTCATTGTATATGACTCGGATGAATTTGGATACAAATTTTGAGATTATCATAATCATAAGTTAATAAATTAATTAGGAGTAGGGATGTGACTTAAAATAAACTAAAGATGTACACAGACAGAAATAAAACTTAGGATTGCCATCAGTTACTTCTAAAGGTTTTTCAAATATTTTGAGATAGAGAATATTGGTGATCAAAAGGATTGAGAAAGAAAAGACACTCATTCTGATGAAGCTTAGGAAACTCCTTAGATGCCTGCTACTGAAATTAGAAGGTCCAGTAGAATTACACGACTAATACAGATGTACTCTCCTTCTTTGTACTATGAACTAAAGTTATATGAAGAAGCCGCTCAAGTTGAAGATTCAAAGGAGTGAGAGATTGTCATAGATGCAAGATGCAATCATTGAGGACTCATCTGTCTTAAGATTTGACATAGTTATTAGACGACAAAAAGATATTGCATAACAAGTGAGTTTACAGATTGATAGAAGTGTCAGATTGTAGCAGAAGCTATAAGGCAATGTTTGTTATGAAAGAGTTTCAGTAGATCGAAGGAGTGGACTGCACTGAGATATTTCTTCTTTAGTGAAGATGACAACTATGAAAGTTGTGCTGAGTTTGGTAGCATAAGAAAATTTACATCTAGATCAGATGAATGCGAATGTAACTTTTTTACATGGTTATTTGGAAGAGGAACTGTAGATGGTGCAATCACAGGGATATGAAAAAGAATATATAGTCTGCATATTGAAGAAGAGTTCTTATACTTTGAAGCATGCCCCAGTCAGTGGTACAAGAGATCTGACAGGTTTATGTCTGGCAGTGAGTGCATAAAGTGTCAAACATATCATTGTTGCTTCATAAAAAAAAATTGGCATTTGTCATATTATATTTGTATTGTATGTAGATGACATGCTGATTGCAGGGGTATATATGAAGAAGAACAGAGACTTGAAGAAGCAATTATGAAGGGAGTTTGAGATGAAGATTTAGGTCCAACTAAGAAGATTCTTTGTATGAGAATCAATTGTGATAGGAGTGCAGGTACAATGAATTTGTTTTAAACATAATATATTGAGGTCTTACACTGGTTCAACATGAGAGATAAAATCAGTTTTCACTTTGTTAGATAGTCAATTTAAACTATCTAAGAAACTATCACCTAAGTCTGAAGCAGAACAAGCAAAGATGAAAAGTACTCTCTATGCTTCAACTGTTGGAAGTTTGTTGTATGTAATGATATGTATGAGATCAAATATTGCACATGCAGTGAGTGGTCAACAAACACATTAGTAATTCAGGAAAGCATTTGTTTGAGGCAATGAAATGAATTTTCAGATACTTGAGAGAAACAATCAACAAGACACTTTGTAGATTTATATATGGCAAGGGATATTGATGGTAGGAGTACAACAGGGTATATCTTTATTTTAGGGAACACAACAATGAGTTGGGTTTTTTAGGCTATAGAAGATTGTTGCACTTTCAACATTAGACGCCAAATACATTGCTATCTTTGAGGATAACAAGAAGATGATTTGGCTGTAGATTTTTATGACAAAAAAGGGCAAGGAGCAAGCAATTAGAAAGTTTCATAGTGACAATATGAGTGTTAGTCATTTAGTTAAAAATGTGATTTTTCATACCAGTATGAAACACATTAAGTTAAGATGTTACTTTATTCACTCTTCTAGAAGATGAATAATTATTCTTAGAGAAGATGCCTATAGCTTAGAATCTTGCAATATATATTGACTAAGGTGGTTAAAATTGAAAAACTGAAGCTATACTACGTTTCAGTAGGAGTTCAAAAAGGTTGTTTTCTAGACGAAAACAAGATACCAGCAAGTGGAAACCCAGTGCTAGAGACTTGTTTCCAGTATTTTCGAAATAAAGCGTTCGAAAACTCGGCGCTCAGGACTGGCAATTTAGCGTCCAGAAGAACGACTCCAGAACTTAGTATGTGGGAATGCCAATGGTCAAGTGTCACATCTTGCTCTCGAGCACTAGGAAACCGAACGCTTGGAACCAACACTTGTAATCGATTTGCAGCTCGAAACTTTATGTTTCAGGTTTCTTCATTGTGGTAAGGGAAAGTGAACCACACAAAGCGGTGTTCGCTTGTTTTGAGTGGATTTCTACGAGTTTCTCTTATGCTATCAAGTGAAAAGAAGCGTTTGTGAGTTTCAGGATTGCAGAGAGGATTTGAGTGGTGTAATATGTATATTCTCCTCATTTCATAGTGAATTACTTGGTGTGCTATGGCTCCATGATTTTTTTCTCGTTATCGGGTTTTTCCACATTAAATCTTTGTGTTTTATTTTGTGTTTCTTGTTTGCATGTTTCTGCTCAATTCTTTGCTTCAGATCTCTCAAATCTTTGTTTTTTTTTCCGACAAATATATAAGTATTGGATGGTATGTATGTAAATGGCCCAAAAACTTATTGTGATCTTAAGTTCAAGGACATTATTATTGTTTCTACTCTTTAGATAATGATTTTTGAAAATCTTGTAAAATGTTTTATATTCAGAATTTTTTTGTTGCCTAATGCCTCTCCAATTGATCCGCAGGCAACAAACAACTCCATAGCCAAACTTCCAGATGAATTTGGCAAATGTTTGAAGTTAAGTAAAGTCGATATCGAGGTATCACGAAGTGCTTGTCTTTTTAACTCACAGGAGCATTCCTTTATTGTATTAGCAAGACTAAGAAATTTTCATTCATAATTAGTAGAAAGAATCTAATTATATATTGCTATTTCAGGGAAACAAACTAACAGTAATACCAGAAAACGTTTTGAGGTCATGGACTACGCTCACAGAGCTTAATGCCGGTACATGTAGTTTTAGAAGTAGATTATTTTGTATACTTGAGTGCATATCTTGGCTTGATATTTTTAAATTAGGCATTTACAGATATAGCACATAAATCGTATGTATTTACATATCTCACATTTAAACTTTCATATTTTCAAAAGTCGTCAAAATTAGCTCTATTTTCACTTTTATAGAGTGAAACATATCTTTTTGTGCATTGTTTTAAAACACCAAAATGCTATGTGTGTAATATGAAGTTCAGGCATGAGATAAATAAATACATATGAATCGTGTGCTTCATATGTAAATTTCTCTTTTAAAATTGATCATCTATCATAATTCTTTTTGAATCGAACCATACTCAACATACTCCAATTTTCTGCTCTAACAGCAAGGAATCTACTGACAACAGTTCCTGATAGCATTGGGGTCCTAACAAAATTGATACGTCTTGACTTCCACCAGAACAGTGAGTTGAAAATATATATGTAGACAATCTTCATTTATTTCAATAATTATTCTTGTATTCCTAAGTATTTATTTTGCATGTTTTTTTCATGTTTATGTATGTAGAAATTTCATCGATTCCATCTTCAATTATGGGTTGTTGCTCATTAGCTGAGTTTTATATGGGGTATGCTTATACATTAAGATTTATTACATCAGTTTCTAATTGCTGCATGATTTTTTTTTTGTTTCATTCATGTGCTAATATTTCTCTCATTTGTTGGTGACCGTTGAATGGCTTCTTTTGCATTGTATTGTCTACTTTAAATTTCAGAATCAATTTGCTTTCATCACTACCTCAGGAACTGGGTGCACTTTCTCGTTTAGGAACTCTGGATCTTCATTCAAATCAGGTATTTTGGTGAAGTTCATTTATGGCTTGAAGATCTCAGTTTTGTTGCTTTTATGTATTATCCTGTCTACACTGAACATTTTCTTGAAAATTATTTTCTTGTAGCTTTCTAAGAGCATTATTTTTCTTGCTTCCAAAAAAATTTATTGTGAAAATGCCAAAATATAAAGATTAAAGAGAGAATCTTCATATGATTGTTATTGATTCTAGGAAGACGATTGAGTATTACGGAAATTGATTTAGTGCATGCAATTTATCTCCCCTAATGTTTAGTTGAAGGCTTGCGTTACTAAAGATTATTTAGAGCTATATTTGACATTAGGTGTAGTTGTTGATTGACCTAAAATTTTCTAATTAGCCTAAGTTTAATATTTTGGAAGTATGATAGGTTTAATTATGTTGGAGATTGGAGGTATAAATGATGATATAATATCTTGGATCAAGGTTGGATGATTAAAATGGAGTACTTAAATATATTTTATTTTATTTTATTTTATAAGAAGAGAATATTATGGGGCTTAAAGACAAATCTTATAAAATTATAATTAGTGTGATGAGGTTTATGGATCCAAATATTGAATTGTAAAGGTCATGGTTTGGCCTGGGGGTTTAAAATTTCTAAGGCTGGAATGGATGGCGGATGGTGAAAAATCAAATTCATTCTAAAACCTAAATAAAGAAAGAGCCGCTAATGATTTAAATTTATAGTAAAAAATTAAAAAATTTATCTTTCTGTTTGTTGATTTTGCATTCTGTAGACAATTTCACTTATAGTACTTATCTTTTATTCAAAAGCTTGAATATGAAAAATGTTAAAATAACATAATGTGTTATTTAAGATAACACATTGGAGTAATTATACTCCTTAATTAACTCCTAAATTATAGTAACTCAATGAAGAGAAAATATATTGATATTTTCTAATATGTTCTAAAAAATTATATAATAATTTACATCATGTATACATAACATTTGCTCGTGGAAGAAATAAAAAATTTTACATGCATGAATTTTTGTTTTACTTCTCAAAGTGTAACTTTTTAATACACATCTCACTTGTAAGTTGTAATTTATATATTCGTCTCAGGAGCACCTAATAACTATATGCTTACACACATACATCATTGGTACAGCGGGACGAATTAGGTCTGCAATTTTCAGAGGTGAAAATATATATACTCGCCCCTCACTGATATTCCCCCGTCGACACATTGGTTAGTGATCTAAATTTTACAATTTTTTGAAGTGGTAGTAAAATATCTATGGGCGCAGGTACATTGACATCCTTACTAAAGTGGTTAAACTCTTTCTCTTCATATGCATATATAAACATTCATGTATATAATATTTTTATTTCGTACTTTCAAACATATATTATTTTTTTTATGAGATACTTTGTATTTATCCAGAATGAATAAATATATTTCTACTAGAATCTAAAGGCCATTTAATTATCTAATATTTTTCTAGAAAAAAACTATTATGTTGTTGTTCATGCAGAAATATTAGCATGCAGAGTTCTTATCTAACAATATGAAAACATCAGGAATATTCTAAGTCTTAATGATATAGAATAGGGTTGTGAAAAATTAAAATAAAGAATACAATAAGAAGTAAACAATATTACTATAATATAAAAATATAATTAATCACCTTAATCTTATTTGTTTATTTTTCTCTCATTAATTTTTTTATTGTAGAAATATAATTACTATCTTAACAATTCACATACAAACATTTATATATACAATATTTTTATTTCATTCTTTAAAGCATATATTGTTTTTTTATGGGATACTTTATAATTATCTATAAACGAATAAGTACACCTCTACTGAAATCTAAGTGTCATGCAATAATATAATATTTTATAGGAAAATTTTTATGTAATTGTTTGTGCATAAATATTAACATACACGCTTCTTGTCTAATAATATGAAGATATCACTGATAGTCTAAGATTCAATGATATAAATCATAAATATGAAAAATTAAAATAAAGAATACAATAAGAATGAATTTTCTTGTAATGTATAAACATAATTACTTTTCTTAATTATGTTTGCATATATATTTCTCATTGAAATATTGCCATTGTCGGTCTCAAGCCCGGATGTGAAAAGTGGAGGGTTACTTTAAGTAGTCGATAGCCAGCGTAAAATTTGTTGAAAAAAATCATAACATGAATTATTTTGATCTTTGTGTAAGTGTTAGGGCGTCCCTGG